AACAACAACAAAAAAAACGGTAAAACTATTCGTACCATTTAAAAAAAAAAATTGGATATTTGATGGCTGCAGTGAGCGGTATGGGCCCAGTTGGGTTCTACTTTATAGTATGCTCTTTTTACCCAATGGGGTTTAGGCCTAAAGTCAGACTTGAGTTCATGTAGAGGCATGTGTCAGCTGTGATAACTATTGGAGAGACTTAGACTAATTAAGATCACTGACAGATCATTTGGGGAGGGGTGAGGCACGGAGGGCAATCGGGGATGACAGGGACAATGTGGGAGGAGGATGGGTCATAACAGAGGGAGGGGGATGGGGAATCTAGGATGGTAAAACAAAAGGCAAGGTATGCAGGACACAAGAATTGGGAAATTATTTGCTGAGAACATATATGTTGACGTGCTTGATTGAGCCAACGCACAGTATATATTGGATGGAAAATTCATTTGTGTGTTGCGATGGGAAAAAAAAATTATAATAAAAAATAAACTATAAAAAAAAAGAGAAGAGGATAGAGAAAGATAGCAAGTGAACAATAGAGGGGATGTTAGTGAGAAACAGATATGGTTTATTATCTGTTGAAGATGACGTGTATAGTATTCTCAACTGGACTGGTCTGGGAAGTATTTCATGATGGGTGAAGTCTTTTAACAAGCAAAATGAGAAATAGTGATTGACTGTTTTAAAAAATTATAATAATAATAATTATTGGGAAATGCATGGAAAAGACATTGAATGATAAAGCGGGGAGATTGATGTCTCTGTATTGACTGACATGCATGGCATTCCCTTTTGAAAAAGCAATGGAAGTCAATGTAAAGTTATATGTAATCCAATGTAATATAAAGAAGATTATGATAATAAAAAAAAAAAAGAAAGAAAGAAAACCTGAATTCCTCATCCACGTTTAATGCACTGAGTGCATTAATTCACAGCATTATGTTCAAATAACAGGAATCTGTGGTGCTTCCATTCTACAAATTCACAATTGCGTGGAGGTAAAATGGAAAAAATATCTACTTTTCAACAAGTTCTGATGGAGGGGAAATAATGTGTGTGTGTGTTTATCATTAAACAATGGTTTTTTTCTAAATCCCAGGACTGAGAAAATTTCAGTCTAGGAGAAAACAGGGGTTTACTTGGAAGAAGGAAGATTTGAGCTGGTTTGTGAAAGAAGAGAAAGATTTTACCTGGCATTTGGAGGTTGGGTGGGAGCAGGAACAGGAAGACAAAGAGGAAAAACAAAGGCTATAGGGAGCAAAGCTATGACATTTGATATTCAGGCCTGGGGAACAAGAACATGAGATAAATTTGGAAATGTAATCTAGAATAAGAAGAGTTCTACACAACAAGTCAAATTAGGACTGTAAAGATAAAATTTATCCAGGAAGATGTAGCTATGCTAAATTAAGACCGAAGACATTACAGAAAGGAAAAATGGGAACCCAAGTCCTTCTCATTGAGCACCCACCCTTAAAAGGGGGGGGGCAGTTGCTGACAGTCTGCTTGCCGGTAACTTTCTATTATCTGCAGGGCTGACCCTCACAGATATAATCTTCTCATGATCAAAACTTGCAGCAGCAGCACCCTGCAAGGCCGGACACATCACACACCTTGCTGACACCAAGAAGGAACCACTATCCCAACAATAGACTGCTCCAGGTATCTTCCACTTTAACCCAATTCTGTCCCTTCTTCCACTTCTCCTAGACTGTCCTCTGTTCCCTTGGAACAATGTGAGCTCTTTCAAACAACTTACTTAACATACCTTTTATTTCAGGTTAAAGAAAACCTGAAACTTGTTTCCTCAATTAAAACAAAATTCATCACTTTTCTCAGGTCCTGCTGCTGAGGCATTTGGTTGTATGCTCCAAGGTCTCCCCCTGATTTTGTGCTAACTTTGAAAGGCCAATAAATTCACTTTTTAAAAAAATGTTTTTGGGGACCAGCAGTTAACGTAATGGCTATGTCGCTGAACTCCCATGTAGTTGACTGTGGTTCGAGTCTCGGACCCAGTGGCTTAAACTCACGCTGAGCACATGTGCGTGAGTGCCCAAGATCCCGAGAGCTGAATGGAGGAGAAGGGATTGCGGCATGGCCATCCCCCCGGAAGGTGATTTCTTGTTTTCTGTCTGTCTCTCTGGTGAGCACACACGTCCTATAGCAAAAACCTCCAATAAATAAATAAATAAATAAAAACTGTTTTTGCCATAGGGTGCATGCACTCACGAAAGGGATTGGGGGGGATGGGGGGGAGGCAGAGAGAGAAAGCGACAGAGAGACAGAGAGAGAGAGAAGGAAAGTGAGAAGTCACTCCCTGGGGGGATGGCCAAACCACAATCTCTTCCATTCTCCTCTCAGGATATTCTGGGCTAGCATGCACACATTCCTGGTTGATTTTTTTTTTACATTTATTTATTTATCTATATATTTGTTGTGATTTTCAGGCCACTGAGTGTGGGACTCGAACTGTAGTCAGTCATGTAGGAGTTCAGTGCCTCAACCACCACACAACCTGCTGGTCCCACTTCGTGGATTTTCAGGCCGCCAGGTCTAGGACTTGAACAGATGTGTGGGAATCCAGAGCCTTAACCACTATGCCACCTTCTAGCCCCAATTCCTTTCTCTTTTGAATCTTTGTATTTGCAAATGTACTTTTTATAAAAACAAAACAAAACAAAACAAGCTCTAAGAAAACTGACAAAATCTCATTAATATTAAATGAAATTTCAATGGGGCCAGCAGGTGACATAGTGGTTAAGGTGCTAGACTCCCATGTGGTTGACCACAGTTTGACTCCTGGACCCAGCAGCTTAAAACTCACACTGGGAAGGAGTTTAACTGGGAGGGAGCAGTTAGCATAATGGCTATGTCGCTGGACTCCCACGTAGTCGACCGCAGTTCGCGTCCCGGATCCGGTGGCTTAAAACTCACGCCAGGCGTGTGTGCGTGCGTGCCCAAGATCCCGAGAAGAGAACGGAGGAAAAGGGATTGCGGCGTGGCCACCTCCCCTGGGGAGTGCTTTCTCACTTTCTGTCTCTCTGTCTCTCTCTGTCTGTCTGGCGAACGCACGTGCCCTATAGTGAAAACCTCTAAAAGAAAAAAGAAAGAAAAACTCACACTGGGCACATGTGCACGCATGCCCAAAACTGAGAATGGAGGAGAAGGAATTGCAAAGCAGCTATTCCCTCGGGAGTAATTGCTTGCTTTCTGTCTCTCTGGGGAGCACACATGCCCCATAGCAAAAATCTCTTAACAAAAAAGAAAAGAGAGAGAGAGAAAGATGAAATGAAATTCCAAATAAAATTCATAGACTGCTTTTCACTTTTCATATTTGCAAAGATTTTATATTGATGATATTTCTCTCCTACCACCATCTGCAAACAGGCCGTCAGCCAGGCCTCTGCTGAGAGAATCTGTTACTAGCTGAAAGATATTTTGGTACTAACCACTGAATGGTAACTATTTCAGCACAGGTAAGGCTTATAGGCCTGTGTAAATCAACAAACTACAACTCTACAGAAGTCACTGTGTTGTACTCTGAAAACAAGTCTGTGGTATAGAAATTGTACCTCAATACAGCTATCTTAAAAACATTCAAAAGGCACATCATTAGACACAGCAATTCCACTACTAGGAATGTATCCCACGGAATTTTTTTTTAACCTAAATAAAAATAAGTCTCACAATTATATAGTCCAATAATTAGAATAATTAACTACTGTTAATTATCATACTGGGGTTTTTTTTGGAGAGGCTTTTTGCTACAGGGTGCATGCACTCGCCAGACAGAGAGAGACAGAGAGACAGAAAGTGAGAAATCACCCCCCAGAGGGGATGGTCACGCCGCAATCCCTTCTCCTCCATTCTACTCTTGGGATCTTGGGCACGCACGCACACACGCCCAGCATGAGTTTTAAGCCACCGGGTCCGGGACACGAACTGCGGTCAACTACATGGGAGTCCAGCGACATAGCCATTATGCTAACTGCTGGTCCCAATTATCATACTGTTTTCATACTAGGAGAAAAGATACACATTCTTCATTAGCTTCAAATCAGTAATCATTACAAATATTAGGGCAAAAGATCCTGCACAGGGGAGTGGGATTTAACTCCATGTCCATTCTGTAGGTCCTATTAGGAGTAATGGAAGAAAAGAGGTAAAGCCCAGTAGATTAAGAGACAATGGCCGAACACATATGCATCTTACTTTGATTGCTTTGCATCTACGAGTTACTGGGTCTTCTTCCACAAGTACTGCAACTTTCTGTCCAACTTTCACTGGCACACGGGCAGTCACAACATGATAACTGAAGTAGATTGAACCATTAATCAACCCATAATCGCCATAGAAACTTGTCACCACTCCCTTTTTAGTTTTCAAATGGCTATCACCTGTGAGAAAGGTAAACAAAGTTCACATTAGTAATCGTACAGGCAAACACCCATTCTGAACAAGTCCTACAATGGTCACCATGGGAGCCCTGATCCTGTTTTCACCTGTAAAAAGAGGACAATTACACTGCCTAATAAGTTTGGTGTAAGTATTAACACACATGTCACCTGTTTAGAACAGTGGGCACCTGTACAAGTTAGTGGAAAGGTTAGTTGTTATCATTCAATCTTTATATTGTATAAAGAGGCTTTAAACATCCAGTAGTATTATTTACCCTCATCCTTTTCACCAACGTAATAAGCAGCAGCCTATCCATAAATGATAAACATCTCAGCAGACAGAACAGTAAAAGAGAACTAGAGGTTTAAGTCTAGCCCTAAACCACATCTAAATTATTCTATTGTTGTTTTGCTTTAGGGCATGTGCACTCACTTGAGAGACACAGAGAGAGAAAGTGAAAAATAACCCCCTAAGGAGGATGGTCACAGGGAAATCCCTTCTCCCCCATTCGCTTGGGATTTTGGGCAGGAATAGAGGCACATCAGCAGTGTGTTTTTGAAGTTAACTGGGTCTGGGACTCAAACAGCGAAGTTGGCTTTGTGGGATCCACCTGTCTTAACCTCCACACCACTGAATGACCCTGAATCACTGTTGTTTCAATTCTGCACAAGCCAAGCTAGTAAGTACTATTTTAGAATGTTTCATCACCTACATGCCTACACAATGGTCCCCCTGCCTTCAAGATGCATTGATTCCTACACTTACCCTCAAATACACACCCATTTTGGATATAAGACCAAATTCACCCTCAAATGCGAGAGCTCCCTGATCACTGGCGAGATTAAAAATCATGTGGTACATGAAGAAATGCAGGAACACAACAGCCCATCACAGCCTTATCTACCAACCACTTCCCCCTTTAGAGCCGCTTGAGACTATCGCGCCGACATCGCCAGATTAACTCTGAGGCACACACGGACCAGGAGACATGCCCCTCCCCCACCTCCCATGCACTCATGTGCACCTCCCCGCCCCCACCAACATGGTGGTGCTGCTCTACATACAGTGACTGCACAATCAAAGGATGAGGAGTTCCTCTCAGGGGAGGCTCCTCACGTAAGGGATGAGGGAACACACAGAGGGGTACCTTTAGGGAACTCCGCCTGCTGCTCCTGGGTGGAGTCCACTCTTCTTCGGAAGAAGTTTATGGCTCGTCTCAGAAGTCTGAGCATGGTGCCTTCGTCACCACAGGTCTGGGTACTACGTGCGACACACGAAGCACAAAGCCCGCTTTGTCCAGAGACCTTGAGTCACAGCCTCTGCAGAGAAGCGGTCTCTTTCTCGCTGTCTGTGAGGTAGGACCAAACTGTGAGGAAATCTCACAGAAGAGCCTCTCACTCTACCGTCTCAGCACAAGCAAGTCTCCTGCCTAAAGCCGCTTTGCCAAGGCCACTGTAATGGCGCCTGCCACCTTCACAGGAAGGATCTCGGGACTCCACACATATGCTCTTTTATTGGCTGCAGAAGCCCGCGCTTCAACATGTGACATCCCATTGGCTGGACAGCTAGAGGGGCGTGGCTTGCATATCTCTGGGCAAAACTGGAGTTGTCCAGGCTTATGATGCCCCTCAGGGCTGCTCAATAAAGGTTCCGTTCTATTTAGTAGACAAAGATAAGGACAGCAGGAGGCCACATCCTAAAGGGCCACTGTAACTCCAGGGGTTGGAGGCAAATCAGTCTTCGGGGTTCCTCTGTCCTGCCCTGTATCCAGTCCTGTCATGGAGAGGGCTCACCAACTTTCCAAATCTCAAAGCAGTGGTGCTTCACACAGTTTTCCTGAGGGCATGGGGAGCAGATGAGCTTCCCATGCCTTGAAAATCTGAAGATTCAAGTGAATCCTCTCCTCCTAAAGTACCATGACCCACATACTGCCCGGTGCAATTCACTGACCCACAATAGTGAAACCCAAAGCCCCAGTGGAGGACCTCCGCGACCCTCTATATGAAGCTAAGTCCTCCACAGGAAAGGTCACAGAAGCATGCCTGAACTCATCCCGATCTCTCAGGTATCTCTCCCTCTCCCTGGGGAGTGTTTCTCCACTGAAGGCAGGAAAGAGGGAAGGATGAGTGCCTACTCAGCAGGAGACCAGGCTCAGCGCTGAGTGTGTGACACTGTGCTCATGGGCACCAAAGACAGACCCAGGCTGCTCAATCCCAAATCAGATTGCTCCCTGGCACAGGGCTGCCAGGCAAGCAGTTTGACTGCAGGCTGCCTCAGGCTCCTCATCTGCATAAAAGCTTGATAATCATTCTCTTGCAGAGCTGTGAAGGCATGTCAACTGCCAAAAGTATGTACTCAGAAGAGAGCCCAGCATAGCTAACACACTTTAAAGCCTTAGCCGCTACTAGAACTTTCAAAAAAACCCTGCCTTCATTCTCCTTCTGCTCTCTCATTTCCCTGCTGACATGTGTTGAAGGACTGACCAGGTCCTGTGCGCTCCTGTTATCCCTTATCACTGCCCACACAAACTGGCTCTCCACAACCTCTCTCCCCATGTGTCCTAATATCCCAGCTCTCGCATCCTCTGCTGCCACCACTGTACTTTCCCTTGAACGTGTCAGGCATATCCTTGGCTCACAATCTGTGCACAGAGTACTTATTCCCTCTCTGGAGGGTTCCTGCCCCAAATGCCCACCTGACTAACACCATCACCTCCTTGAACACTTAATTCAGCTACTGCTTCCTGATGATGCCTACCTCACCACCCCATTCTCATAGACGGCAACCCTCCTACCTGGCATTCTGAGCCCCACCTGCATGACTCTATTTTCTACAACATTAACCACCTTCTAGCAAATCATGTCTTTATTTCTTATGTATATTGACAAACTTTTACTCCTCCATGGGAAAATAACTTCCACTGGACCAGTTTCTGATTACTTTATTTACTCTCTAATTCGAAGAGCTCAGAATTATGTTTGATTCATAATCAATAAATATGTACACAATGTACCTGCATGACTCTATTTTCTACAACATTAACCACCTTCTAGCAAATCATGTCTTTATTTCTTATGTATATTGACAAACTTTTACTCCTCCATGGGAAAATAACTTCCACTGGACCAGTTTCTGATTACTTTATTTACTCTCTAATTCGAAGAGCTCAGAATTATGTTTGATTCATAATCAATAAATATGTACACAATGTGAAATTAGCATGACCAAATTTTTAAGAAGTAATTAATTAATTAAGTAATTAGTTTGTTTGTCTGTTTTTTAATTTGACCAGAGAGAGAGAGAGAGAAGGTGAGAAAGGAAGCTGCCTGGTCCGGGACTCAAGCAGTGGCTGGCCATGTGGGAGTATTCAGTGCCTTAACCACCGTGCCACCTGCTGGTCCCAATATGACCAAATTTTCATAGTAATACTTAGTACAGACTCAGTTAAGTCCTGAGAGATGAGGAATCTGCAGTGGGGACTGAGTTTATTTTCTGTCTGGGAGTAAAGAGGACAAATGAAGGCAGGCCTGTGTGTTATTTGTTGGGGGGTTTAGTGATCCATGTTGGACTCCCATCTTCTCTAGTATATCTCCATCTCTGGTACTCAGACCAGTCCAACGTTGGTCCAGTTTCTTGCAATGTCCTGATTACTTGGTGGTACTGGAAACCCTTCACCTTCTTCCCTTGAGACTGAAAACAAATGAGTAATATTTGGTTCCTGGCATTAGAGCTGCTTTCCCCCACCCCCACCCTTAAAGGTTTTTGTCTTAGGGCGTGTGCACTTGTTTTAGGGGGAGAAAGAGAGATAGAGACAGTGAGATGGGAAGTGAGAAATCACCCCCAAGGGGGGATGGCCAGGCCACAATCCTTTCTCCTCCACTCTCCTCCCAGAATCTTATGCACACATGCATGCATGCCCAGAGTGAGTTTCAAGCTACTGGGTTTGGGACTTGAACTGCAGTCAGCTATATGGGAGTCCAGTGATATAACAATTACACCATCTGCTGGTCCCAGAGCTGTCCTTCTTTAACTCTTTGGGGCTCTGGTTAGTGTGGGCCTAGCTGCTGTGTGTGTTGGGGGACAGGGGTGCACAATGGGTCTTCAATCTATGGGTGCCTTTTATTGCCAGGTCCCTGTTAACCCATAGAGACTCTGACCTGTGGGCCCCTGTCTTCTCTCCACAGATCTTGGACCTGTTTTTCCGTGGCAGGTCCCTGTGAGGCCCACTGGGTATAGTTGGCCTGGATATGGTCAGCAGGTGACTGTATTCCTGGAGAGAGGGCAGGTCATGTGTGGGAGTAACAAGCTTAGTTTCCCACTTGAGGGAGGACAGGAACCATGGCTCTGACTGGGGTAAGAGACCAGCCTTGCCGGATGCCCTTGGCCAGGTCATGGACCCTCTCTAGGCCTTGGTTTTCCTATCTGTACAATGGGGAAACTATAGTGATCACATGGGGACTGCTCCTGAATAAGGTTCTCAGAAATCTGGTCCTTTGGCAGGAGGGTCTCTGATGATATTTGAGGGAAAAGAAGCCTCAGAGAGAGCCACAAACAGGAGAGGGCAGATTCTAAGACCCTGTGACCTAGCCCCTGGCCCTACTGCCACCAGAGCCTGGGAATCTCCACATTTAAAATGGGGCGGCCCCATGTGCTTGGGACAAGAAAATTTCTCACTACCCAAAGTAGATATATATCAGGGAGTTTTAAAAACTACTTCACTGCGGGGGGCGCG